CCATGTGCTAGGGAGGTTCACACACACACACACACTCATATCTGTGTGGAGGTCGAATACGAGGTCCTGCATTATTAATCAACTAGGACAAGTGAAAGTAAGGTTTCGGGGCACACTACAGCATAATTTTCGAAAGACTACAACGGAATATGATTGATAGTTATTCAGGCCCCGGACTCGGCCTACGCACTCCCGGGACCTTAATACGTAACTAGAAGTGGGTTTGGGAGGTATCACACAGTATAATTATGATAAGAAACTTGAGAAAGTATAGTAAACAGTATTCGAACCCTTCATATTGGGCCCAGTATGCTCCACCCTAAACCCGGAACCCTAAACCCAAACCCAAGACCCTAAACCGTAAAACCCTCTGAATCCTAAGAGCCGCGGCACGTCAACGCCCTCAGCCTGCGCAGTCGATTCGAAGATGCTCGATCCAGCCGCGAGCACCTGCGGGCATCCGGCTCAACTTAATGTAGGGTTTAGGGTTTTAGGGTCGCGCTTTTGTTGGATTAGGGCAGGGCTTCAGGGTTCTAGGGTTTTAGGGTTGAGCTTCAGTCCGTATGACAGTCACCTCCAGGCATGGGACATGTTGACTTCTGCCTTGCAGAACAAAGTACGAGAATTCAGGGTCTCGGTAAGCCCTGGAAGCCCAAAGGGCTTGAACTACTTCAAGCCTGGTTTCATTTAAATCTTCACATCCTGCTCAGGCACAGAAGAAGGATCACACGAAAACTCCAAATAAGCCCTGGGTTCATTGCTTTAGGAATTCCACGGCTCCACTGTTGAATTTAGGTTTCGCTCTGATCCTCGAAGCTCAAAGATCTCTCGTCGCACCCAGAAACTCGAAGGGTTAAGAAGAACAAAGGCGAAGATCTTAACATAGCATTTTGCAACAAGTAGAAGGAATGCCAACAAGCTCATGCTGCTATAATGCAGCCCCAAAGCCCTAATTTCAGGGGCCTTTCATCCTCAGGGATAAAAATATGGGTGGTTGGTCAGCCAAGTACCTAATAATTACTGATCCAAGCGCAGTAACTCAAAATACATACAAAAACCTATTTCAAACACAAAAATTACAAGAACGCCCTATAAATCCTGAAATCAACCCTAAACCCTAAACCCTGACAGCCACTTGCATGAAAGAGCACCTCCTGCTTGGTCGGAATCTTCTCCGGGCGGAAACCGCCTGCTCCCAGGAGTCCTGTGTGGGGGGCTTAAGGTCTTGATGTAATTAGGAGTCCTCTGTGGGGCTTAAGGTGTTGATTTAGGGTTTTAAGAGTTCAAGTTGAAGCTTCAGGGGTTTGGGCTTTACAAGGTTTAGGGCTTATAGGGATATAGGGTGTGTATCCAGTGTGCGATAGGGGTGCCCCCTCCCGCCCCAACCACCCCAACTATTGGGCACACCCTCAAACCCCTCAACGGGGGCTGTCTTGCTCTCTGCTTCTCCTCGCAGCCCTGCATAAAATGACAACATTTCAAAGCAAAACACAGCTGAGATGGATTGGTGTCGGGTTGTGGGTCCTCGCGGCCTGCGCCTAGCGCTCGACGAGAAGCAATTCGTCCCTCGCACCCTGTCCAGTGACGGCCGCTTGGCCAGACGGAGGGTGCGGACCGGCCAGGGCGGGGACCCGAAAATCCGCATTTTTGAAACCTGGGCCGCAAGGAGGCCTTGCTGGGAGGCACTGGAAACCGACCCTCTTGGAGGTCCGAGCAAATGCGTGTGTGTGCCGCAGGCTGGGGGACGAGATGCTCGGCCGGGGGCCTCGGTCGGAGCCTCGAGCGCCCATGCAAATGGTCAGCGGCGCTCTCGGCAGTTCAGGGTTTGGGCTTGGGGGTTTAGGGCGTCTTCTTGTGCAGTCCGTGCCAAGATGGCGCCACCTCACACCAGGGTTTGTGGNNGGCGTCAAGCGACCTCCCTTGTATGCTGTGGTAGAACTCGGTGAAACCGGAAGTTCTCTTCACCCGCACGCTGGTATTGCTCGAAACGGTGATCGCACAGCCGAATTACGATGCAAAACGGGGCCGAAAAGTTAGGCCCGATAAGTTCAACACAGGTGTCGAGCTTATCTCATTTGTCGGTGTTATCTTGTTGTTTCTGGTGCTAAGTCGCTTTTCAGAATGGAGGGCGCCGGTTCAACACAGGTGTTGAACTTAGCTTTCTTGATTGGGACTTAGTTTTGTCTGATATAACTCGCTATTCAGCTGCGCCCGATAAGTTCAACACCGGTGTTGAACTTAACTTTCTGCAAGGGGGGTTCTAACTTTCTTCTGGTGCTACCTGGGTGGTTGTCAAAATTAGGGTCCCTTTTTGGGTCCTTATTATACTACGGCACCTGTTATTTAGACTACCCCAAAAGGGACCCTAATTTTGACAACTCCC